TAGGCAAGGACCCTAAAACTTAGTATTGAGCAAAGGAGCAACTCGAATTGATTCATATCAATCTGTGTGGATTAATTACCCCTGAATTGTTCAATGATAAGAGGTATTTTATGAATTTTGTTAATGATTTCTAAAAAAAAATGTGGGCTTATTTTCTAAGAGATAAATTCGAGGTGTTCAAGAAGTTCAAGGTGATGGTGAAGAAGACAACTAGGACACATCTCAAGTAAATACAATATGATAGAGGTGGAGAGTTTACATTAACAGTTTTCATGAAATATTGTGAAGATGAAGACATAAGGAGATTTTTTACAGTCCTATATTCACCATAATAAAATGGTGTGGTCAAGAGGAAGAATCAAACTATTATTGATATGGTTCAATCAATGTTGAAGAGCAAGAACATGTTAAAGGATTTTTGGCCAAAAGCTGTGCAATGTGTCATCTATGTGCAAAAGTTGGACGATCTAACACCATAAGAGACTTGGAGTGGTAAAAAAATCGATTGTGTCTCATCTTAGAGTGTTCGATAGTGTTGCTTATGGACATGTACCTGCTCAACAAAGGACAAAATTTGAAGGTAGGAGAAAGAAGTATGTATTCATTGGATATGATAAGAAGACGAAAACTTATAAGTTGATAGATTCGATCAACAAGAAGGTGGTGATAAATTGTGATGTCCAAGTTGATGACAAGTGAATGGAACTGGGGTGACTCATTGGAGGAAGTTAGTGAAAATCAAGGATCAATGGTTGATATACCACCATTTATAGCAAGATCGAAAATTGAGAAGGAAGAGGAGCCACAACCTAAAATTCATAGTTTATAATACTTGTATATAACTCGACAAATGAGGTACATGTTGTGTGTCATTTGGCAGATTTTGAGGACATAAAGTTTGAAGAGGCAGTACGTGATAAGAAGTGATGAGATGTTATGAATGAGGAGATTTGAGCTATTGAATGCAACGACATATGAACAATGATTGAGTTGTCGACCTACTCACAACCGATTAGTGTAAAATGGGTGTACAATAAGAAGACAAATGCATAAGGCGAAGTAGAAAGGTATAAAGCTCAGTTGGTTATGAAGGGTTACAAACAAAAAGAAGAAATAAACTACAATGAGGTGTTCACCCTAGTGGCGAGGATGAACACAATTTAACTGCTGATCTCTTTAACAACATAATATAGATGGATGATCATACAAATGGATGTTAAGTCAACATTTTTTAATGTTGTGCTTAAGGAGAAGGTACATATTTAGCAACCACCTAGATATGTGAAGAAAGGAGAGGAAATGAAAATATTGAGATTGAAGAAGGCTCTTTATGGGCTAAAGCAGGCTTCCTAAGCATAGAACAATCAAATAGATTCCTACTTTTAGGAAAATGAGTTTGAACAATATCCCTATGAATATGCCCTCTATGTGAAGAAGAATGGAGGTGATGTAATGTTTATTGCTCTTTATGTTGACGATATCATGTTTATGGGATTCTAGCATAATTCAAGAGCACAATGATGGTTGAATTTGAGGTGACCAATCTGGATATAACGAAGTTTTTTCTTGTCTTGGAGGTTAGACAAGAGGAGTCTGCAATATTAGTGTCCCAAGAGGCGTATGCAATGAAAATTTTGAATAAGTTCAAGGTGATCAATTGTAATCCGATTTCAACCTCTATGGAATTGAGAACAAAGCTTTTAAAGTTTAATGAAGGAGACTGAGTTGATCTGTGTAGATATCAAAGTTTAGTGAGAATCCTTCGTTATCTTACAAGCACAATACTTGATTTATGTTGAGCGTTGGAGTTGTAAGTCGGTTTATGAAAGAGTCAAACTACTCACACTAGAAGGCGTTAAAACGAATACTGAAGTATATGAGAGAAACAACGTCACTAGGACTGTTATATACTAGGTCGGACAATTACCGATTGATAGGGTACTTAGATAGTGATTGATGTGGAGATGTGATGATCAGAAAAATAGATCGAGGTATGTATTTTCAATGGAAAACATAACTTTTACTTAGCTTTTAAAGAAACAAACTATTGTGACACAATCAATGTGTGAAATTGTGTACGTAGCAACATCTTAATGTGTGTCATGCATTATGGCTCATAAATTTGATGAGCTTATTGGACGAACAACTTAGTGCTTTGTGATTTGAGTTGATAACAATTTAACTATTAAACTGGTAAATAACTCAATTAATCATAAAAGTAATAAACATATTGACGTGCATTTTCATTTCATATGATAACACGTGAAAGAAGGGAATGTGAAATTTGTGTACGTGGTGAACCGATGTTAAGTTGTAGATATATTTATGATATCATTATCCATAGTTTTGTTCAAAAATTACAACAAAATTATTACATTGAAGGATGAAAAAAACTCTAAAGAAAATGATTAATTTATGATCACTTATGAAACATTTTATTGAATTAAGTTAAATAAATACTTTAATCAAACATATATTTAAGAAAAAAAAATTAAAGATCATGTTATTAGTTTTATAATAAAGTCAAAATTTTAATCTTTAAATATTTATTCAATTTTTTTGATAAAAAATAATAAAATACAGCTCTTATCATTCCCAACCCACACCAAACGCTTTAGTTGCAGACTCTGTCAACCACACCCTTTAGTTGCAGACTGTGTCAGCAGTGTAAAGTAGATCATATTCACGGACTCCTTACACTCACAGACTTAACATAGTTTTGTGAGTTTAATAGTTTACATTTTAAATGTAAAGTTGAACTCGGCTATTTTTTCATGCACTGATGTATAATTTTAGCAACTAAGGAGACTAAAGTGATGATTTCAAATACCTTATTCGTGAAAAAATGTGCCCTGAAACTACGAACAGTGGAATGAAACTTTGATTTCGTCGTAAGTACCAGGTCACATGTATTTTGATCCTTCACGTTTGTCTTCACTTTCTTTTTCCTGTTCCCGTGACTCAAATCTTATTTACTCTTTTACCCTACTAATGTACAATAAAACTTACTTCAGTTAGCATTCTATAGAGTAGAAAAACTTAGATTATTCATTCAACATGAAAATGGTTATTCCTCGCCTTCAAACAAGTATATATATATATATATATATATATATATATATATATATATATATATATATATATATATATATATATATATATATATATATATATATATATATATATATATATATATATATATATATAATTGACTAGAAGTAAAATTGTGGCAACATAATAGGTACAGAAATTATTACCCTCCAATACTTGTTTACGTACTAGTACTTAAATTTGTCGTAGAAATTGTGAGTAAATTTGTTATTTTAAGAATTAAGTTATTTTGTCGTGTTCTGACTTAAGGATAGACTTAGAATAAATTCGTTAATAAACTTAGAATGAATTAAGGTGGAACATAAATTACAAATTTTAATCCATCTTATTAAAGGATAGACTTATAATGAATTCGTTAATAAACTTTATATATATATATATATATATATATATATATATATATATATATATATTTTTAAATATATTTTTAATTATATGAATAATTTTTAAATTTTTATTTATTAATTAATATTTGTATTAAATAAATTAAAAAAATTATTATATTTATATGGTAAAATAATTAATTATAATCAATAACTTAAATTTAATTAATTAATTTTTATAATTTAAATTGTAATATTAATATATATATATATATATTAATAATATAATATAAAATATATAATTTTTTAATTATAATTTTTTTATTTTAATTTTAATATATAAATATATTTTTAAGATGGGTTAATGATTAATTTACTGAAAAATTGAAAGTGATTTTTTTTATTAAAATTATTATTAATATAGCTAGGATTACCAATGCATCTCCAGTACAACATTTATAAAAGTTATAGTAAATCCGTTAATAAGGTCCTAAATGAACCGATTAACAAGTCCTCATAAGTTTATCTTCTTTGTGCTTTTTGTCGGTCAATAATGCCGAAGCTTAAAATATGGTAAAACAAAAGTACCCAACGCGGAATACATAATGGAAATATCAGATGCCCAATGCATCCTAAACACCCTGGAACCACACATGGTAAAACGGGTTAAGCCTACTTCAAATTGACATGATAATAATTTTAATTTCTCTTGTAGTTTTGGTCCCCATCGCATGTTCACTCACCTAGTCCAATTTCCAACTAATCCCTCAATTTACAGATTAAGAATAGAATTAAACAGATTGATCTAATATTAAAAAATAAAATAAAAATATTATAAAAAATATTATATTTTTTATATTATATTATTAAAATATATAAATATATTATTACTTTAATTTAAATCATAAATACTAACAAATTAAACTTAAATTATAAATTATAATTAAATATTTTAACATATAAATATTTTTTTTCAATTTATCTAATAAAAATATTAATTAATAAATAACAACTTAATATTCATATAATTAAATATATATTTTTAAAAGTTTTACATAAAAAATTGATGAACTACTCTGCTAATCCCCCTTTGACGGGATTGAGGAACTGACTAAAAGTCTCTAACCTATGATCGACAACTCATCATAATTTTTTGCGGAGACGGATCAAGATGAGATGGACGAACCTATATTCGACAATGAAGATTTTAACTATGTATTTTGAAGAATAACATTATGAATAATTCTATAATGTTGCACAAAATATGTTTCATAATGTCTAGAATTTGCCAATTGAGTAAGCAAAATAAAAATAAAAATATAGCATATGATATTTTTCTTACTTAGAATGATGGTAGAGTAAATATAGTTTAACTTATATCATCAACATCGACATCAAATTCAAGCACTAATCAACTTAGGTACATATTTAAGGTCAGTGATGATGACCTGAACATATTTTTAAACAGATTACTAGTAACAAAGTACACTAAGAATAATCATATGTCAACATACCAGAGAAACTGAGTAATTCTAAGAAGATTTATAGCATCATTGAGCTGCTACATCAACTTTTGGATATGGACGCTTCAAGCTTTTCTTTCAACTGTAAGGCAGCAGTCTCCCCTCCCTCAGTTCTTATGGTGAATGTATGAATGATTTTATCATCTGTAGTTGAAACATTGGAGTCTTGAGCCACAATTTGATGCTCCCTAAAAGTTTTAACAACATCAGAAACAGGGTGAGTATCTAAGGGGCATCCCACTGTCACAACAATGTCATCCTCTCTTTCCTGAAAATCCATATCTGGCAAGGATAACATCTGGTCCTTATTGTTAATCATGTTCTTCTCAGCTTCCAACACTTTGATCTTCATCTGGAGATCGGTGATGAAGGTAATGGCATCACCAAGCAAAGATGCCTTGTCCATTTTAGATATATTGGGGACAACGGCTCTTAAGGCATAAAACCTCTGGTTAAGCTTCTCACGTCTTTGTCTCTCAGCTTCAACATGATTCAGTGGTTCCTCTCTCCCATTGGCAGGTTTTCTACCTCTTTTTCTGGGTTTCCGCTCATCTGCATGAATTGAGGACGAGTCTTCATTACCGAGATCTAGAGAAGGAACCCGTGCTTGAGCATTAAAATTCCCACCCATCATTTGATTGAGTTGAGGGAACATTTTCCCTTCATTACTGTCCCCTAAAGTCCCATTGGAAGAATTTCCATAAGCATGGTTCACCCCCAATGCTTGAACTTCAAAGGAGTCTGAAGTAAAACCAGGATCATCTTCCACCTTTGGGGAGAAACTAATAGTTATAGACTGAGATTTTGTATCCCCCCCCAGGCTTAACTCGTGCCCAAAAATCTTGGGAAACACCTTTGCCTGTCCGGGACTGGATTCCCCAAATGTTGTCCTGACCATCTCCACAAAACCCTGCTCTTCAGACACCACTTCATTCGAACCAAGCTCCACCACCCCAGACTTCAGAGGAACAAAAACAACAGTTTGAAGACCAGCCACTTTCCCTAGAAATGATCTAGATTCTAATTGATTTAAACAACCAGCAGCATCTGAAGTCCAAATCAATTTACCAGATTTGAATGAACTCCCAGGGCCACATGGCGATTCAAAACCAAATATATAACACATCGAGGATAAGTAAAACAAGAGCAAATCAGAAACCCTATCCAATCTCGCATAATTAGCCTCTTTCGACACAGACCCACCAAAGCAGGCATCAAGCTTCTGCAGCACCATCTTTCTCACCTCCTGCTTATCCTGCTTCCCAACTCCACTCCTCTTCCCTTTTGGGTCACTGCAATGCCCATCACCCCAAATCAAGGCAGAACCACCAGATTTCAACCCAGCAACCTGCCAAAAAACAGCATAGTTCCACTTGGAACCCTCAACAAGCTGGGACAACCGCTGGCGGAGGACCGACTCAGCGCCGGCAGACGGAGCAACAACGCTGGAAAAGACATTATTGGATAGTGCTGAAATGAAAAACGCAACAGCCTCTGCACCCAACACAGATTCCAACACACCCTTCTCCTCTTCGTTCACACAAAACTTCTCACCCATCATCTTCCTTCCTCCCCTCCTTCCACGGTTAATATCTTATATATCTCAGGATCAAAACTTTTTCCACAAAAATGTTTCACCTGGATCTCTACTAACCCTAAATTTCCAAAACCCCAAAATTTACATAAAAGAACCCTAGAATCAAACCCTTGAAAATATCAAACTAAAACTAACAAACTTCTGAAATTCATCACATGGGTGTTCCCAATCACATATAATGGATGATTATCACAAGCAATCTAACTTAGTGTTGAGCTCCAGCTTAGTGGGTCGCAACTCCAATGAAAATTCTTCACGCGGAACAAACAAATTCAGCATGAAAACAAAAACAATAAAACAGAATTACCTTGGTATTGAGATTTGGCGTGGTGTATGATGAATATGGAGAAAAATCAAACTCTTAACAGATATACGATTTACAAAACCTGAGAAACATGTTCCGTCTCAGATCTGGAATGCAAATGTTATCTAAGTTTTTTTTTTTTTTTCTTTTTTTTTTCACCTTATCTTCCGACGTCTGAAGAGAACATTGGACCACAAATATTCTTTGACTCCAATAAAACAGTCAATTTAAAACTTAATAATTTTTAATTAAATAATAATTTACAATTAATTAATGATGTCAAAATTCTTCTACATGTCAATTTGTTCACATTAATCCTTAAAAACTATCATTTTTAATTATGTTAGATTTAAATATGCCATACATTATTAATTTTTTAAGATTAAGAAGTCATTTCCATTCATAGCAATTAACTATGTCATGTATATAATTAGATTTCTGGGATACTAGTGATAATAAAAAAACATTTTAATAAAAAATAATATTTATTTTGATGATTTAAAAGCAACATAGATATTATTGTCTTATTGTTTATTGAGACATGTATATGATAAAAAATAATATATTTTATTACAAAATAACTTTAACCAGAGTTAATTAATTTTTAAAAATTATTCTAAACATGATTAAAATTTCAGGGGAATATCTAATTAGATAAAATAGTTTAACTAACAAAAATTACGAGTAGTCAAATAATTTTATATAAGTTTCAAAATAACATTTTAATATAACATATAAGAATAGAATATATAAATACAAAATATTTGTTCTTTATTTTATAGGGACTAAAAGTCATTAATCAAGATTCAAAAATATTGATAACATCTTTTTAAAATATATTAGCATATCGTAAAAAAAAATTCATTTTATCATATAATATTTGTTTTGATTATTTTTAATACTGAAAATGAATTTTTGAAAATGTAGTAGAAATCATATAATATTGATTTGATTATTTTTATTATTAAAAATAATTTTTTGAAATTGTAATAGAAATTCGAAGTTATGATTAAATTATATTATAATTTATATAAACTTCTTATCAATATTATTTTAAGTATTAAATGATCCATGTGTTGAATATTATGCATTTAATATAATATCATGTAAGAATATTCTTTATGCATTATTGTTATAACGTGTATTTAATATAATTATTTTGAAGGATATTTTTGTTAGGATAATAAATATAATATAATAATCTGAATTGGTACATAAGTCTCCAAACTTAGAATATAATGATGAATGAGTTTATTTTTCTAATTGTGTTTATAAAGTTTTGATTTATACTCAGAATTACTGAGCTACTAAGTTATATATGAATTAAGTTACTTATTGGGTTTAATTTATCTTTGAAAATCTTTTCAATTCTAACGTGTTTTAATGAGGGATTTTAACAATGATATTATGTTGTTCTAGGATTTTTCTCTTAATTAGCGTGTTTGAGATAAGGTGAATATCTCTATTTTGACTTTCTTCTTCATTGAGCCATTTGATCTGAATCTTCCTTATGCAACTTTCCCTTTAAGAATATTTGGTGTTTCCTTCCAACATTTTCTAGGTATGCTTTAACTCTAAGATATTCTTTATCATGTCTTCTTCTAATTTTGCTAGTAATTATAGTGGTTTAGTTGAGCCTTTGGTAAGCAGTGAGATTCACTTTATTAGCTATGAGTTAACTAGAGATGCGAGTTCTTCAAGTTCTTCCATGAGAGTAAGGGATCCTCCTTGGACATCTACTATAAAGTTTGCAAAAAATCTCAAAATTTTAAAGTGGATTCAAGTTCTATTAAAGGAACTTAAAAGGGTAGATTGTCCCTGTTTCAGATCCTGAGTACTCTTGGTGCTTAGAGAAGTGGGGCATTATTCTTCTATTTTTATTTCGTCATCTTTGGTAGAAGATATCTGTAAAGTTTATAACATTTGTTATGATTCTGATGCTCAATTTATTCTTACTAAAGTTTGTTCTTCTATTGAATATATGAAACCTGTTTTCAATACAGAATACTTTACTTTCTTGTATGAATGTTTGTTTAAAGATTTGAATATTCGTTTGCCTTTTACTAATTTTGAAGGTGATATATAGTCTATGCTTTGTGTTGCTTGTAGTAAACTCCGTCCCAATAGTTGGGCCTTTCTAAAACCTTTTAGATCTTATGTGATGTTGTAGATTTATCACTTATTATAAACAAGTTTCTATATTTTTATCAGTTGAAACTTGGTTCTGAGATTGGTTGGGTGTCTCTAAATGACTTTCAACTATTCTTCCTCTTTCAAAAATTAAATTCATTTTTTAAGGTTAAGTGTGCTCAAAAGGACATTTCTTAACGACTTTTCTTCCTTTCTGACCATATACCTTGATTTTCTTTATATTAGAGAGTTCTCACAAGTTTAAATCTCATGCCAAACATTTACTTTCTCTAGAAGATAAAGAAGGCATAAAAATATTGTCAAGTCTTTCTTGTACAATTAATTGAAGAGATATATTGTGAGTTTCTTTTGTCGAGGAGCTTAAAGCTCGATTTTTGGGTAAGATATGACATATTTCAAATTTTGAGATTGAAATTCTATATTTCTTAATTTCCTTGCAGAAATATGGCTCTTAAATTTGATTATAAGAAGACATGAGCCAAAGTCGGTAGCAACTCTACAACTCTAAAACCTACTAAAGAAGTTGACCTTGCTCCTAAAAGGTTGGAGATTGTAAGTATTGAGAAGTCGTCAGTTCCAATTATAGATGTTGGTCTAGAGACTAATAAAGCTAGTGTTGCTGATGTTGATGTAGATTCTGGTCATATCAATCCACCCAATATCTCCTTGGCCCTAGATTCCTTGAGAAGGTCCTCCTCATCCTTTAACTTATGTACTTTGTGGAACACAAAGACCTTTAAATTGTCTTGATCTTGTCTCCATCAATAATCCAAATGTCAATTCTATGTGGCATGTTAATCTCATTGCTGACGGGATGAAAGTTAGTGATGCCTTCCCTTATTTTGATGATGTTATTATGTTCAAAATGGTTGGTCTCTTATGAATTTCCTTGACTTAGGTGAAGTTATGATGGGTCATTGTATGTAAATTATCCATTACTAAAAAAATATTGTCGCTAATATGCATTGAAGAGAAGCTCAACGAGCAAGAGATTATTTATCTTTGAAAAAATAACAAGATTAACTTCAAGTTGCTTTATTTAATCATGAAGTTTATTTATTTGTGAAGGTTAAAGAGAATCAAACTCATTTACTTCAAATAAATGATCTTTATAGTCGAAATACTATTTATGTTGTTAGAGTCGAGCTTGTACAGAAGTTATTGGATGAAGTTGAAGTTAGAGTTAAAGAAATGGTTGAAGTAATTGAGGCCGAAGTTAAGACAAAGATCGAAGTTGTTGAAACTAATCTTGTTGAGGTACAAACATCTTTTGACCAAAAAGTAGTCTAACTATGAGTTGTCAAGGAGCAATTTAGTGGAAGTCTTTGAAGATGGTTTCAATAGGACCATTGAACAAGTCACTATGATAAGTGTAGACCCCAAATCTTGTCCGGCCTCAAAATAAAGAGCAGAAGACCTCCTATTCGAAGATGGACAGAGCCTAAAAAGCCACTAGGAGAGACTATTAGGCCCCATATTAGAGTAGGAAGGCTTTTCTGTACAAAAATAAGGATTCCTACCTTCAGGGGTCGAGACTGCCGTCTCGCTTTTTGGGACCGCCGTCTCGACCAATGGTAAGTCGAGACCGCCGTCTCGTTTGGCGAGACGACCGTCTCACCACTTGCCGAAGGCGAGACTGCCGTCTCATTTGGCAAGAAGGCGGTCCCGACCTTGTCAGACGAGACGGTGGTCCCGACCTGACAGGTGCGAATTCCTATAAAAGGGGGGGACTTTCTCACTCTTTACACACAATTCTACAACTTTCCCTACTGTACTATTCTCAAAATACTCTCCTAGGACCCCTCTAAAGCATTTTCAGAGTTCTTAGATTTCTTAGAAAGCATTCTAAAGTGTTGTGAGAGGAGAGTGAGCATCGTTGTAGAGTGCGGGGACTGCCAAAAAACACTCTTTTTCAAGAGTATATTATAAAAGCTTACTTCGAAGGTTCCTACATACCCCTTTCTCTATTTTATTTCTTTTTAGATAATATCTCTGTGCATTAGTTATTAAGGGCCATGTAGTCGATAGCTTAAATTTTGCAATGAATAAATAAGGGTAAAAACGTAGTTTAAAGTTCTTATTTCTTTATAAATAAATGGTCCATCATAGGGAACCCGAAAGGGCAATCGTGGGGAAGCTAATACCTTCCCCACACGTAACTAACTCTCTTACCTAACTCTGGTTGTAATGACCAAAGTTGGTTTTTCTTAAAACCCACTGCCTTCTTTTTCCTTTTCCAATGTTTTTGGTAAAAGCATTGGTGGCTACTCCTTGAACCCTTTCGAAAATCTCGCCCTTAGGTCTAACCCGGTTATTGGACAACCTAAAGGTGTTGAACCACACTTTTAAAAATGCGAGTCAAACAAAACCATTGTGTCGCTCCGACCACCTCTTCTGACGACGGCGACAATCCCGAGGGAAAAACTGTTAGAATCGTGCAGCGAAATGTTTGCGTTTACGGACAAAAACCAAGAGGGGGGTGAATTGGTTTCTTAAACAAAAATTAGGGTTTTAAAATTTTTCCCAAATTTCACCGATTAAAATGCTGTGTAAAGTAAATAGATAAGGGAAAGAAGATTACACAGTTGATTTATACTGGTTCGGATCAAAAGACCCTACGTCCAGTTGCTAATCACTCAAAAAGAGGATTAACGTTGTTACTATAATCACAATTTACAAACAGATTACAAATTGAAAAGATAAGGTAAAGAAAACACCTCTCTTGAGTCACACAAGAGATGAACACCTCCTTTGAATCCACAAAGGATGAAAAACAACTTTTCCTAGAGACGACACAACACACAATCCACCAAGAAACCCACTCAGTGATTCTTATCGCTTCTAGCCCACACTAGGTTTTCAAAAGCCCTTTTTTCTTCCCTACAAAAAGTTCTCTAGCAGTCACAACTCTTAACTTTTGTATGAAAAATGTTTGTTCATTTGCAGAGAGCCTTAGAGAACCTTAAGTAGAGAGAATAGGGTCTGGGAATTGGGGATTTTCGAAAACAGAAGAATTGGGAATAGGGTTTTCGAAACTTGGTCCAAATTTGAATTTCAAAACACATAACAGACGCAAATAATCGATTATCTTGAGTGATAATCGATTATTCCAGAGTCATTTTCGCAGGGGAACAAAACTGGACCAGGATAATCGATTATCTAGCCAAATAATCGATTATTTTCCTGTGATAATCAATTATTCTGAGTGATTTTCTTACTGTAATAATCGATTATCCAGGGTGATAATCGATTATCACAGTGTAATTTTTATAAAAATGAGTTTTTAAAGCTTTTAAAGGATGATCTATGTGTTGGCTATCTTGGACTCTAATATTACAGACTCAAAAACATAAAACTAGAGTTATTACATAAGATTACAAGTCTTCAAATCTCTAAGTCCTGTGTTCTTGAATCATCATCAAAATCTACAAGTTTCATATCCTTGTATGTTCAACAATCTCCCCCTTGTATGTTCAACAAAAACTTTCTTCATCAGTCGAAGGGTCAGCTACCGCATCAAAGGAGCATCCTGAAGCTTCACGCAGATCGTCCGAAGGGTCAGCCTCCGTAGCAAGGAAGCATCCTGAAGACAACTTCAGACTACATTCATCATCCCAAGGGTCATCTACCACGTCAAGAGGAGCATCCGAAGGACAACCGGGTAAGAGAGTTAACTCCTTCACCCGCCAATCGATTTCATGGCGCATTAGCCCATAGTCAATTGGTCGGGTGAAGGGGGGGGGCAGCTGTAGACCCCAAATCTTGTCCAACTTCTCAATAAAGACCAGAAAACCTTCGTTCGAAGATGGACAAGGCTTTTTTAGGTCCCTAGGCATGTGCACTAGGCTCCATGTAAGAATAGGAGGGCTTTCTATACAGAAAAAATAGGAAAATCTGACAGGAAGCTCGAGACGATCGTCCCGTTTGGCCAGACGATTGCTCGCCTTCCCTGAAGGTGGAGCCGGCCGTCTCGTTTGGCCAAACAACTATCTGCTTTCCTAGACGGTCGTCTCACCTATCAGAAGCCTAGACGGTCGTCCCGGCCTACCTAAGCATTATTCTAGAGTTCAAGTGAGTTTTCCAATTTTCGTTAAGGTAGAAATCGGTTAAGGAGGTCTCCTCTTGAGACATCTGACCCTCAGTAGAGTGAACTTTTATCTTTTGCAGGGAGGAGCGTGCTTGTAGAGTGTGGGTTCAGCCAAAAAGCGTCCTCAATTCTTGAAGAGCTAATATAAATCTCGTTTCGGAGGTTCCTTTCCTTATTCTCTCTTTTACTGCTTTCCTTTATCGCTTTCCTTGTATGCATTAGATATTAGGGTCATGTAGATCTTTAAATTCTGCAAGTAGATAGAATAATAGGGTAAAAACATAGTTTCTTTCAGTCTTTATTTATGACTTATTCCATCATAGGAAACCCAAAAGGGGTGTTGTGGGGTGCTAACACCTTCCCCACACGTAACTAACTCCCTTACCCAACTTTGGTTGTAACGGCCAAAGTTGGTTTTTTCTAAAACTAATGCATTCTTTTCTTCCTTTTTCGATGTTTATGGTAAAAACATTGGTGGCGACTCCATATAACCTTTTTTGAAAACCTCATTCTTAAGAACAGTCCGATTATCGGGCATCTTAAGAATGTTGACCATCTTATAAAAAACGCGAGTCATATAAAATAATTGCGTTGCTCTGACCGCCTCTTTTGACGACAGCGACACTAACAACAACTAATTGTTTTCTTCCGCAAAGAAAGAGGAACCAACTCCCATGTTTTGTTGCGATCAAGAGCCTGCATTTCAGAAATCATGGCTTGTCACCATCCAGGATGATCAAGTGCTTTTGTCACATTTTTTGGGATCATAATAGAGGATACGAAAGAAATAAAAGAAAAATAGGAAAGAGACAGTCTATGATAGTTAAGAAAATTGTAAAGGGGATGAGGATTACGAGTAGAACGAGTACCTTTATGAATGATAATGGGCAAATTGGAAATCATTATCAGGAGTTGTGGTATTAAATGATGATTGAGAATGACCTGTTATAGGCGGCTCATCTTGGGGAATAGGATTGCTCATCTTTGGGGTGTCAGAAATAGGAGGTACAAATGACTCAACTAAGGGGATAGGAAGAACATGTTGGACAGAATCAATATCTTGCACAGAAGAAGGGAAGAAGGGGATTGATTCAAAAAAAGTAACATTAGCAGACATGTAGCACCTCTTGGTTTCAGAAGAATAACACCGATATCCTTTTTGAAGATAAGAATATCCCAAGAAGATACATTTGATAGCTCTAGTTGAGAGTTTATCTAAGCTTGGAGACATATCATGAACAAAACAAATACATCCAAATACGCAAGGAGAAACATTAAAGAGTGGTTCCTTTGGGAATAGAATAGAATGTGAAACTTTATTGTCAAGAGAAGAAGATGACATTATATTAATGAGAAAGCATGCAGTTAGAATAACATCTCCCCAATGATGAATAGGCATATTGGCATCAAGCAATAAGGTACGAGCAATTTCAACCAAATGTTTATTTTTCCATTTTGTTATACCATTTTGTTGTGGTGTGTGAGGACAAGTAGAATGGTGTAAAATGCCTTGAGAACTTAGGACGTCAGAGAAATCATTAGAAAAGTATTCTTTGGCATTATCACTTCATAAAACTTTGATTACTTTTCCAAATTGAGTTT